CTTCTCCACGTGGCACTTCTGTAGTGGCCTGAAACCATTCGTTGCCTTTTGTGCATCCGTTAACTCATCATGTTGTCTAGCAGGGCCTCCCGCCCCGTGTCTGTGCCGCAGTCTACTGTATCACTTCCACCATCTACCCCACTTGACAGCAGTCCGCAAGTACAATTAGCTTCCCCCACTGTAATCAGACTCCACAACCGAAATGGACAGCATTGGCAGTTTTTGACTCTACCATGCAGCATTTGACCAAAAAGTGATAAATCAGGCTAATTTGGTCTAAACAAGCGTGTAAAGGCCGTTGGTGTGCGCTCGACTAAAGCCCTTGCTAGTAACGCCACCAAATGAAGGTCTCATTACATGCCCCTGAGCACCGACCACGGAACTAGGTAGCCAGCTACCTGTGAGTTTCCAATTTATTTTATCTGCAATGCAATTGTTGACTCCTATACACGCTCCTGGCTGGATAATCCCCGTTCTCGCTATGTTTGCAGAGTCCCGGGAGAATTGTGCAGATGCCAAGGCAGCCATGGTAACCCGTAATATTGCCGTAATATTGAGTTACGGCTAGTTAAGTGTTAGAATTACGGCGGTATCCATTAGTTATGGAGCCAAAAAAACCGTGCCGACAAATGTTGTCGTGCATTCTTGTCTATTGAACGCTGCACCACGTGACGCCGCTAACTTTACAGCGTGCTGCCATCAAAGGCTGTAGATGCCAATTATCAAGCCACGGGAGATGTTGAGGCTCGTTGATTCCAGGGCAGTCCTTTGCTCTTCATGCAGGTTGCATCTTAAACTGGTGTGTTTCAGACGACTCATGGAGCTGTAAGTCAGGCAGATCCATGGTCAATACTCCTCAATGAGCAACACGCCGATCTGAGCGGTGACGTCCCTACAACATGACGGTAGTTGGAAATGGTCAAAATGACTCGCAAGGCCCTGCATCCAACTGGCTAGGCGACAAAAACTGCGAATGGTGTGGGCATGAATAGATCGACTTCCAGGAATACGTATATACTCGGCCTGGTGCGTATGAATGCCAAGGTCATAGAAGAGCGGCGGAGTCATTTGCCAAACCTCAATGTAATGTTACAGCCGGTCCAATACGCTAATAGCGTTTATACGGCTAAGTGCGTGCACATAGGCAGGTGCCTTGCTGAGTGTGAGCGTCTTTTCTCGGCAGCAGGTCGTATGGTGAGCCCTCTGCGCCACCAACTTGAAGCTCAGATTATCGGGATGTGCCAGGTATTGCGCTCATGGTTGAGGGCGGTCATTATTCATAACTTAGATCCCTTCTTTATTTTGGTAAACAAAGAACAAGTTGATAGCGAACGCCGAATTGGCTCAGATGTCTGGGCAAGAGTTCGAGGTATGGGCAACAAGGTGGCTTACTCAGGTCACGAGTGTTCAAGAGGAGGTGGAAGCTAGTTGGAGATAAATCCGGTTTGGACGTTGGACAAGGGAGACAGATGACAGGTCGCCAAGGCTTCGGGGATACCTTCACCGGCGCTTTGCC